TGTGCCGACCTGGCGGTCGGCGCGACCTGGCACAGGCGCCGACCTGGCCGCCTGGCCCATGTGCGAACTGACGAACTGATAAAAGACTTCCTCATCACTTAAGACCCAATTGCCTCTTCGGCATGGGCAAAGTTCAGGAATGGACTATGAGTCGCTCCCAAAGCGTAAGGGCTACAATACTACTTAAGACTCAGTTGCCTCTTCGGCATGGGCAAAGTTCAAGAGTGGACTATGAGTCACTCCCAAAGCCTAAGGGCCACAATACTGCACAAGACCCAGTTGCCTCTTCGGCATGGGCAAAGTTCAGGAATGGACTATGAGTCGCTCCCAAAGCCTAAGGGCCACAATACTGCACAAGACTCAGTTGCCTCTTCGACATGGTCAAAGTTTAGGAGTGGACTATGAGTCGCTCCCAAAGCCTAAGGGCTACAATACTGCACAAGACCCAGAGCCTAAGGGCTACAGTACCAAACTGGTAGAGACCTCAGCACCTTACGGGCAGCTCGCTTCCAAGCAGCTCCCAGAGCCTAAGAAACTGAATCAGTGCTTACGAGCTCGTCGAATTACGGTCCAAAAGGAGAAATCTACTCCCTTCGCCAAGTTACTTTCAGCTCGAGAGTGGGGGGCAAATGATGAGGGCGGATTTGGCCCTCCAATGACATTATGGCACCTGGCACCTCATGCCAACTAAGTGTAGCCTCATGCCATCTAAGTGCAGCTCATGCCAACCGTTACATCAGAAACAGTACGAGAGTTGAACTAGCCGGTCTACCTAGCGAACCGGTCTTACCCTAGGCCAACCAACTCAAAGAAATTATAGTTCCTTAGTCGAAGACCGCAGAGCTCTTTCACGTCTAGCCACAACCGATCACTACAATCCTCGACTTCGGAACTAGGGTAGTGGTGTTCGGGTGATGGTTGAGTTGGCCAAGGATGCCATGCGGCTATCTCCACAGTCGCCCCCCTTCAAACCACATCGACGCAATGCGTAACGGAAGAGCACAACTAAGAAGGAGTATTCTACACGGACAAGGAAGTGAACTCTGTCGAGGAAGATGAAACCTCCTGAAGACCTCGGTGGATGCCCTCATCTCGACAACCCTGGGAGCCCTATTCGTTTGGGACATGGAAACCCAACTATAAATAGGTATTCGTTGCTCGAGGTAAGGGACCCCTTTTGGAACTGCACTCTTTGAATACCTCTTTGCATAATCTCTTCGGCCTGGACCAATGCTATTTCAACCTGCTCGGCCCGACCACATCCTTCTCGATCTTACTGACTTGAGCGTCGGAATACCTAACCGGGGAACAACTCCTTGGACCTCTAAACTTTCTCCTGATTTCAGATCTCGATGCACAGATTCATCCTTTTACCTCGGCCCTGTTCGATTGGCAGGACTATCTGATTGCATCCTCAGTTCAAAACACATCGAATCGAACAACATCAGGAGCCATGGTTTACGGTATTTTCTAAACAAGGTGAAACATGAAGTGTAAAAGTTCAGAGCTTATTTTTATTGTCGGTTTGTGAATATGGAGAGACGGTGAAACTCAATTTTCTGTTTGTTTCAGCGCTGGAGTGCCTAAACAAAATAACACAAGATGTGACCAGAAAGTGAATTTTTGATCGGAAGAAGAAACTCACTGTAATATGGAGGATGTGTTGTGCTAACAAAGTTGTTGAACACAATGATATAGAGGAGCCTGGCTTCTATTTCCTAAGGGCTAGATTGATTTAACTCTGAAAAGGTAACTTACTGAGAAAATTAAGAGCAGGAAGATGAGTCAAAACAGAGCGTTCCTTTTCTATAGTAGACTGAGAGAAAGAAGGAAGAGTTAGCAAAAACTACAATTTCAGACTAAGCCCAAGAATTTTTACTACGACCTTTGAGGATTCCATTCCAATTTATAGGCTTTCACTGGGCTAAGTTACAAATTTCAGACTTCCAAGCACGATCCAATGTCCAAAAGCCCAAATCTATTCATTTCACAAAGAAGGGCTTAATCCTCAAAAAAATGGCAGTTTTTCTTCTCAATGAATGCTGCTCAGCACATACTGAACTCTGAACCTTTAGATTTGTTGTTGATGAGGTTTTCTATTTGCAGTTGTGGCCGAACATCCATTTGATGAGGAAGAAAAGGGACCAACCGAATCATTTGGGAATTTTGACCAAGGGTATAATTGGGTGATTGAAATAACGCTATTTGTAACGATGATTCATAACGGATGGTTAAGAGAGGGGTAATATTTGTCTAATGATATAATCAACAGGGGAGGTTTAAGTCCTTTTTTCAAAAGAAAGGGGTAGTTTTAGTATTTATAGGAAACTTAAGGGGAGGTGTAAGTCTTTTACCCTATAATATTTTAGTTTACAGCATTTCTACCGTAAGTGGGGGAGTTCAAGCAGCGTCCCTGCAGTCAACACGGTTGCAAACCATAGGGTGTCTTTGTCATATAAAACTAACTATAGGTAGGTCTTAGTCATTATGCCAAAATGTAGGGGTGTCTTAGTAAATCACCCACCTATTTATCTATCAGGAAGACACACAAGAGACATTAAAAATTTGCTGGGATTCATTAACGAGGTTATTGACTAGCTAGAGAACTCGTCAATATATATTCAGGAAGATATATAATTAATTAACAGGATTACCTCTAGACCACAAGACTGGTATCCCATAGTAGTTGATCATAAAACAACAATTTTTCCAAGGAAAAGAAAAAGAAGCAAATCCAGCAGACTAATGGTGAGAATGGGAGACTGACTGCAAACCCACCAGTGTGACTACAAATTCGTCAATATTCTTATCAGAAGTTCCTCCTTCACCCACAGCCTCTCTAGCCAAATCTCTCCATTTGATGGCATTCTTCCTAATCTCTTTCACCTTCTCTTCTTCCATAATTTCCCTTACGCATCGCTCAACTTCTTCCCTACTTACAATCCCCTTCTCATTAGGCTGAGCTCTGAGACCCATTCCCCATATATCCTGAACAAATTTTGCGTTGGGAATCTGGTCTGTCCACTGCGGTATTCCCACCATTGGTACTCCTAAGCTTACTCCCTCTAGAGTTGAATTCCACCCACAATGAGTAACAAAGCAGCCTACTGTGTTGTGGGTTAACACTTCCAACTGTGGGCACCAAGTTACTATCAACCCCTTGTCTGATGTCTCCTCCACAAATTTGCTTGGAAGCTTCTCCGCCTCTGACCTCCTGACCACCCACAAGAAGTAGCTGTCGCTTCTTCTCAAGCCCCAGGCAATTTCTTCCATCTGTTCCACACTGAGTGCAGCCATGCTCCCAAATGATACGTAAACAACCGATCCCTCCGCCCTTTTGTTTAGCCAGTTTATGCAGTCGCCACTGTCTGGTTTGTAGAGATGGAGACCATAATCACTGTCGTCTTCCACCTGTTTGTCCAGGTACATGGACGGAATTGTTGGTCCGATTGCCCGCAATGGAAAGCGTTTCTCCATCCACTCGATCATCTATATCATGGGAATTATGTACATATATTAAATGATACAGCAATTAATTAAATCAGTTCATCAGAATTAAAGGAAAGAAAAATTAATCATCAGTTATGTTTGACACAATTTCAAAGGCAAATGTGATGACAAACCTCTTCCTCCAACTTGTTGAAAGTGTTGACGAAGATCCAATCTACCTTCTCTGTGTTGGAGAATTGACTCATGATCATTGCATGGTAAGCTGGGTAAGACTGTGGATCGGAGATGTAAGATGGCATGTCCCCAATGTCGATCGCCGGCAACCCAGGAATCGAAACGACTGGCTCTCGCACTGGGAGATGAAGTAGCCCCTGGTGGACATGGTAGTATATGTTGTTGACGGCACACATTTGAGTGAAGAAAGGAGCTCCGACTAAGCCGAACTGTTTGGCCACATCTAGAGCCCAAGGAAAGAAGGAATCATATATCAGACAATCGACTGGTTTTCCAGAGCTATCCTGTTTCTTGATGAGCTCGGCCAAGGTTAGAGAGCCCACTTCTTTAAAACGAGAGAGGTAGTCATGGATGCTCTCTGCTTGCTCAAACCCACCATCATCAAAACCATCAGAGATCAACTGAACCTGGACTGAGTTGGAATTGGTGTGCATGGACTTAGAGACGAATTTTGTGACTGCAAATGTAACTCTGAGGCCTTTAAAGGCTAAGCGCTTGGAGAATTGTAGCATTGGGTTTATGTGGCCTTGGGCAGGGTAGGGAAATACGATTACATGGGCTCCATGAGCTCTATCTTTCTTCTCCATTTCTTTACTCTCTGATATCTGAAGGCACACAACAACTTTGCTAATAGTTAGTTCTCTCGTTGATCATTAGCTTCTCTACAGGGGAGCCATTTTGTAGACCAAAGTCGTCGCTCCACGTGGAGTCAACCATGAACTTTCGGCGTTCTTGCGTAACCTGTCTTTCTCTAGAGAGGCCCTGACGCCACCGTCCCACAGCTTATTCTTATTTATTTTCCTCTCTCCATTAAAATATAGTTAAATGAACAATCATCTTATACCGGAAATTAATTGCTTAGGATTAATGAAATTAACATGTAATTTTAAGATTGTGAAACTGTACTTAATGTCTATAAATAAGTGTATTTTTATCATATATACATATATATTGAAAGCAAAAATTAATAGTATAGGTATTAGTGTATTTGGAAAATAATTTGCACTCATCCATTTACAAACCATGTTTGGTTTCAGGATCAAAGGGGTATAAGTTATTAAATAAATCATATGGGTTTAATTAAGTATTTCAGTGCGATACCCTACGGGCAGGGTATGTACCCTAGATTATGAGAGAGATCATGGAGGTCAAAGAATTCTAGTATATCAAACAAAATGGATAAGATATCTCTGCTGGAACTCAGAACCAGATCCAATTAGGATTAATTTTTAAAAGAAAAGCCAAAAGGTACATCACTTCTAGTGTTTTTTCCTCTAAATTATAGGATAATTTTGGTAAATTTCTTAAATTATTCTTATGGTTTTGCTAATTGACTAAGGATACTTTTATTGTTTGAAAATTGACTAACACTATCTCTAATGTTTTTTACAATTGATTAATCCTTCTTAATCATTTAAGTGTGTCAACTAAGACATAAAAAAAGACTATTTTACTCTCTTACTCGGATCTCTCCCTCTCCCTCTCATTCTCTTTGCTGGAATTGCCAGAACCATCAATGATCCCAAAAACCTCCAGCAAATTGCTGATGGCTCCTTAGAGCACAAGTATACCCTAATGGAGATTGGAAAAACCTTGGTGCTTGACAAGGGTCTATCCTATGTCGTGTATGTTTTGCAGCACCACCAGGACATGTTAATGAAGGTGTGGCCCATCCTGCATGTGGCAGTGGTGGATCCGAAAGAGGAGTCATTCATGAAGGCGAAGGGTGAGCCGATGTCCTCATACTACAGAGACAAGCCAAAGATGAACGAGCTAATGTAGAAAGCCATGTCGGAGGTATTTGTGACGTTCATGAAGGCGATATTAGAGGGATACGATGGGTTCAAAGGGGTGTCCTCTCTCTCTCTCTCTCTTACTTTGTTCCGCCATCGCCACTACAACTTGCAATGACGGATTTGGTACTTATTTCTCCACCATCTCTCTTTCTCTCTCGTCTCCCAATCTCTCATTCTCTCTTTGCGCTATTTCTCTCTCCTTCTCTCTCCTCTTTCACTTTGTTTCACCACCGCCACTACAAGTTGCAGCAACGGATTTTGGTACTTCTCTCTCCCGCCACCTCTCTTTCCCTCTTGTCTCCCTATCTCTCGTTCTCTCTTCCCACTATTTCTCTCTCCTTCTCTCTTTCTCTCTCCCCTCTCTCTCCTCTTCTTTCACTTCCTCTATTTCACCACCACCACTACAAGTTGCAGCAGCAGATTTGGTACTTCTCTCTCCCACCACCTCTCTTTCCCTCTTGTCTTCCTATCTCTCATTCTCTCTTCCCACTATTTCTCTCTCTTTCTCTCTCCCCTCACTCTCCTCTTTCATTTCCTCTGTTTCACCACCATAGTTGCAAGTTGTAGCAGCAGATTTGATACTTCTCTCTCCTGCCACCTCTCTTTCCCTCTCGTCTCCCTATCTCTCATTCTCTCTCTCTCTCTCTCTCTCTCTCCTCGCTATCTCTCTCTCCTTCTCTATCCCCCCTCCTTTTTAACTATCTCTATTCTGCCACCGCCATTGTAAGTTGCAGAGGTGGATTTGGTACTTCTCCTTCTTCTACAAGTTGCTACTATTATCGTTGGTCGAGCACTTTAAAATTCTAGGATACCCACGAGGGCCCCCGACACGTTGTGAAATATATTAGTCACATGATATCCAAGTAATTGCATTTACCTAGGTAAGTAACTTACTGAAAAGTGAATAGGGCCTTACTTTTTGTAAAGAACATAGATACTTTTACTAAAGACGAAATTGATCAAGGCTGAAAAAATGGGCCTTACATCGCTTCGAAATGAAGCGATGTAAAATTTACATAGGTTCGCTTTTGTAGGCATTTGGAAGGAGCATGTAATTATGATTGACGTAAAACTCCAGTCCGATTCAGTTTTACATGTGTTTGGATGGATTGGAGTTTTACGTCAACAATCGATGTAAAACCTCATCAAGCATAAGATTTTGCATCGATAATCGATGTAAAAGCCACATTGATTTTATCGATATAAAACTTTACACTATTCCACCCCATTGCATTTTTCTAAAAGAAACGATCATTTTCACAGTTCAGTGTAAAACATTATCAGTGTATTTTTTCATCGATAACGTTTTACACAGATTCCAAACACATCCAAAAATAAAATGGGATGTTAATAACAAATCACTCTTTAGTAAACCTTATACATGTAAACCCCATTGCACATTTATTGTTGTTAAATACTTTTAATTAAAGTTATGTTGACTAGGGATAATATATCCACTCGACAAGGTGAGAGACTGGTTTTATTATTTGTTAAAAACGTTATTAAGAGAAGTTTAAGGATTGTATTTTATATTTTAATTGCTTTTGTACATATATGGCTCGGGTAGGGTTTAAGTTGGTTCAGGACTGAATAGAACCAGTTCTAAACCAATAATAATTAAAAAATATGTCAGAAACCGAAACCGAAACCGATCCATTGGTTTCAGATCCCAAACCATAACCGATCCAATCGGTATGGATTCATTGACTCCATCAAGTCGGACCCGACCCATTGATGGCCTACTCCCTTATCGAGGAGCATTGAAGTAACGAAACTGACCTTCCTACCTGTTCTAAAAATATACTTTGAATGTTTCCTCTCAACTCAATCTTCTTCATATGGGATCAAAGTTTGCATTCTACAGAGGAGGTTTTTGTTACAATCAAAACACAGGGGAGGCTTATATAATTGTAAGAAAATTCAGGGGATCAGAGATTTTTATATTTAACCCCAAAAAATAATATTATTTATATCTGTAATAGTAGACATTTAGTTTTTGAAAAACCAGGGCATGTAAAGACAAAAAACGATTTGATGGTTCATGCAGTGTTTTTTTTATTCAAATTTGATCCATTTAAATTTCGATTCCAATGGAATCTTATTTATATATGAATTCATGGAATACTGAATAGTATTAATATATTAAACTAAAATTATTAATAAAAATTGATTAAAAATAACTTTGATATTATATCATGCATAAACAAAATAAATTTTACTAAATTTGAACCAATGACTATTTAGTAAAAAATAATACAACATTCAAGTATACACTTTGCAACCCTATTTTTAAGACATACTTTAAATGATGATTAAAGAAGTAAAATTATGCGATCCATGTTTCCATATTATGTATGCCCCTTATCGAGATAATCAATTAATGAAGAATTGTTTTCTAATATATGTTTGGCATCGATGCTGTAGATAAAAAATGATACTATTGATGTGTGAATTGGAAGCATCATTTTCCAAAAAAATAATATATATATATATATATATATAATATATATTTTCATAAATATCATCTCTTCCACATGTTCAAGTTGACTCCAGAGTCCACTTTTTTAATGTGTTTCGACTCTCGAGTGGAAAGTTGTAATCTTGGCATACGTGAAGTGAACGTCTTTCATTGATTGAGAGGATTTTTTCTATCGTCAACTATGCCCATGCTTACTAATTGAGAGGATCCTTTATCGTCAACAATGCCTCTGCTTTTTCTTCCACTACTCTTGTCTAGGATATGAATATGGTGTCTATCCACCAACCGCGTATGACGTAGGTATCTGGATTTAAACATTCCTTTCACACCATATGTTCCTTTCACACCGACTCATATCCAACTCCATACAAACTGTAATCCCAAAATCCAACTTGGTTAATAAGATCAGAATCAATTTAATTATTACAAATAGATTTCAGCTTGGACTATAAATTTATATATAATACTATTGGATTTATGTTATCAGTAGTACATGTTTCTTGTTGTGACTAAGATCTTGTTCGTCTTTCGGGTAACTGTATCTATCTATGTTTTTTTTTTTTTCTTTTGTTCAATATACCCCGATATATATGTCTTTATGTCAGAGTATCTGTGTTTGGTTTGAAAGAAAATATAGGGAAAAGAAGAGAAAGGCAGGAAAACTTATATAAAGTTTGTAAAGGTTTTCCTATATTTCTCTACATTTTCCTTTAAACCAAACATAGCCTTATTTACCCTCTACTAGGAAAACTCAATTACGTACCCAAGACTATGGCAAAGGCATATCAATTCTCTCTATTTCTTATTCGGTGGCAATGGCAATTGATGAAGGGTAATTTGGTCATCCAATGACTTCATGACATGTGGCATCGCAGAACAATTGGGTGATACCTCAGTACCACGCAAGCAGATCACCTCACACACTTTATAACTGCATTAGTGACCTCAGGGCCACCCCAATATACTAAACTGTGAACAGATAGATGGTATCTCAAGTCGGTGTATGAGGCGATCTGTTTCCACTAAACTACCTTGGTCCCATCAAGACGTCAGGTCAGCATGAGAGGCGACCTACTTCTACCAACCTGACCTGGGTTCAGGTAGCAACATGCCTGATCTCCCCCTCGAGTGAGTAATCGTCTCTAACTTCTCTGGGATCACAATGCTTGATCGTTAGACCCATCTATCCTCATCGAAGTTGATTAGATGGACTTTATCCCTCTATGTGGATCACATATCCAATTTAGAGGTCTCTTCTGAACATGACGGGCGTGGTTTCTCTAGAATCTCAAACGCATTACTGGAAGCTCCTGGTTTCTTACACCTATATAAAGGCGTCCCTTCCCTCAGAGAAGGTATGTGTCAG